CTCAGCACGGTGTCCGCAAAGTGCTCCTCCCGCCTCTGGGAACGGCGGCTCCGGCCGGTCCTCGGCCTACCCCGGGGCTCCGGCCCAGCCTGCCTAACACCCTGACACCGGCAGGAGGAGCGGCTTCTCCTCCTGCACCCCCAACTCACTGCTCTTCTACATGCACCAAATGCGTACGGTCTCGCGGGTGATTCAGGCGTTGATGTGTCTGTCTCACACCCAACTGTGCACTCTGCTAGTGCTACGGCCACGAGTCATCTTTCTCTTCTGCGCACGGAGGTGCTCAGCACACATCTGTTAACCCCCATCGGCGGCACCGGGTCTCAGTCCCGACAGTGAATTGTATCCTGCATCTGGACAGAGACGCTCATTCCCTTACAATGACACGGCATTCTTCATTCAGGACACAGAATACACGGCTCCCCCGGAGCTCCCGCGCTCAGTGCCCATCCACGGCTCTGCTTATTATTATTAAAAAACAATTTTTTTCATTGATTTTTAGAGCGAGAAGAAGGGAGAGGGAGAGAGAGAGAGAAACATGGATGAGAGAGAACATCGACTGGCCGCCTCCTGCATGCCCCCCACTGGGGATCGGGCCCACAAGCTGGGCATGTGCCCTGCCTGGGAATCGAACCGGCAACCTCTTGGTTCAGGGTCGACGCTCAACCACTGAGCCACACCAGTGGGCAACAGCTCTATTTAGATGTCTTACAGTTTATTTATTCACGCACTCACTCGACGGTTTTAGATGCCTCGTCTGAGCCTGGTGCTGTCGTACATATTAGATAAAGAGAATTAAGATACTGAAAAAAAATTTTAAAAGACGTTGTTCTCAAGAGCTTCATGTTTTTGGAGGGAGACGCACGGTTATCCGTCTGGGTGAGTGTAATAAGGGAGATACGAGCAGGTACCGTGGGAGGGGCGGAGGGATGTTCATAGTGAACTTCTCCCCAAACACACAGGCAGAGCAGGGAGAACAGGACAGACAGTCTTAGCTTACGGTCTGCCCCCCTGCCAACCCGTTACCCGGTGGTCCCCATTTCTTCCTCTAGAAGCTGTGAATACACAAAATAATCTATGTAGAATATATTTTAAAAACTACATAAACTGCCCAGCCGGTGTGGCTCAGTGGTGGAGCATCGACCCTGCACCAAGAGGTCACCAGTTCAATTCCCCGTCAGGGCACAGGCCCAGGTTGTGGGCCCGGTCCCCAGTGGGGGGCATCAGGAGGCAGCCAATCGCTGTTGTCCCTCATCGATGTTTCTCTCTCTCTCCCCCCTCCCTTCCTCTCTCTCTCAAATCAATAAAGGGAAAAAAACCCCGACATAAACTGCAACCACGAATACAAAAAGGTATCTGTATACAAGTACCGCTAAGCCTCCCTTCCTGCCAGCCTGCTGGCTCCCCAAAGGGTCTGGTTCTGCTCCAGTTCACTCCTGATCAGAACCTTGAAACCATCCCCACACCTTCTTCACACTGGTGTCCCCACGTCCCGCCATCTGCGGGTACTGTTCCTTGCGTCCTGGTCCTCCCTTCCTGTCTCATCCAATCACAGCCCCACGCCAGCCTTGATGCGGGGCCTCGCACTGGACGGGGTGACAGATGCTCCTGCCCTGCGCGTCTGGGTCCCTTTTTCCTAAAACTTAGATATTTCTTCTTAAAAAATTTCTTTCTTTCTTTTTTAATGTTTTTATTGATTTTTTAGAGAGAGATAGAAACATGGATGTGAGAGAGAAACACGGATCGGCTGCCTCCTGCACGCCCCGTCCTGGGGATCGAGCCTGAAACCCAGGCATGTGCCCTGACGGGGAATCGAACCAGGACCTCTCAGTCCAGGGGCCGGCGCTCAACCACTGAGCCACACTGGCCGGGCAAGATTGCTTGCTCTATGTCATTCCCCTGCGCAGATAAATTCAGTTTCCCCCTTGTATCTAAAGAACAATATCCAAATCTTAGAGCTTGACATTTAAAGCTTTTGGCAATTTGGCTGTATTTTATTTACCAAAGCCTGTAATAGTAACTGGACCGGGTTCCTCTCTGTCTCCCGAACAAACATGCCTAAATTCAAACACACAGAACTCATTTGTGTGGCCTCTTCCGGTCGAAGGGACCCAGTCTCAGTGCAATTGCCGTTCGGTGGGACAGGTGTCATTTCCCCCCTGAGCATGACCTTCCCGCTCCTATTCATCCTTCAAGACCATGCTAACAGCACACCTCCTCTATGAGGCCTTCCCTGATTTCACCTCCTCCTGAACACCAGTAGCACTCACGCTTTGTACTACTGTAGATCAATGCTTCCCTGAGATTCTGACTCAGTCGGTCTGAGGTGGGGCCAGAGAATTTCTATTTCTAACAGGCTCCATACCAGGGGTCTGGGGACCTCCCTGGGAGGACCACTGCTGTGGATCATCTGGTCTTAGCACTTATACTTTCGCTTCACATTGAACTCGTATTTTTATTTTTTTTATCCTCACCTGAGGACATTTTTCCATTTTTTCTTCAGATAGAGTGGGAGGGAGAGAGAGGAAGAGAGAGAGAGACACACATCGATGTGAAAGGGACACATCAAGAGGCTGCCTCCCACATGACCCAACCAGGGCCGAGGACAAACTGCAACTGAGGTATGTGCCCTTAGCGGGAATCGAACCCGGGTCTCTCTGGGCCACCGGCTGATGCTCTAACCGCTGTGCCAAACCTGCCAGGGCTCACGCTGAACTCTTTACGGGCAGAAAATATGTTCCATCTCTTTGTGGACTGGCCCCCAGGTCCCTCAGTTAATTGCATGGCACATAGACCGTGCTCACTTCGACTCGTTCCGAGTGCCACTCACATTGTGACAGGTGCTCACCACAGCCCACCTGCAGGAGAGCCAGCAGCCTGCTGGGGAGGTCAGTCACTGCAGAGGAGAGTGGCTGGTGTCGGTTCAGGTTTGCAACCGTAGGGCAGTCACAGTCCTTTAGACGTGGGCTCCCTGGGCTGGTGCTGAGCTTGAAGCCCAATTTCTTCCACTTCCCTTAGAAAGGTGGGGGAAGCCCTGGCCAGTATGCTCAGCAGTTAGAGCGCTGGCCCATAGACTAAAGAGTCTTGGGTTCGATTCCCGGTCAAGGGCTTGTACCTGTGTTGCAGGTTTGGTTCTTGGCCCCGGTCAGGGTCGTGCGGGAGGCAACCAATCAATGTGTCTGTCTCACATTGATGTTTTTCTCTGTCTCTCTCCCTCTCTTCCTCCCTCCCTTCCACTCTGTCTAAAAACTGATGGGGAAGAAAGGTGGGCGAAGGAACTGACATGTATTGAGCAATTACTCTCTGCCAACTTCTGGGCTGGGGGCGTAGACATCATCTCAGGGGTCCAGGGAAGTACAGCAAGCGCCCCCAGTCTGCAGGGGTAAACGCCAAGGCCGAGAACACCCGCGTTTCTGCACCGTTACGGAGCACAGGAGAGGCAGAAGGGGCCAAATCGGGAGAAAATGACTTGGACTTTCCAGGAGGTCCGATATGTGTCCAGCTCCACTGTTCTGGGTGCTTGCACCTCCACAGTCTCGTTTAGTCCTCACAAGTACCCAGCGAACGAGACCTCACCCCACCCATGGCAAAGGCAGGGCAGCAGCTCCGAGAGGCTCTGCCGTCTGCCCGGGGCCGGGGCTGAGGACGGGACGCTGGCGTTCTTGGTCTGTCTGATCCCAAAGCCCTTCCTGGTTTCACAGCCCTGTTCTCTGTCCGCGTCACAGGGTCTGTGCCCAGTGCGCCTCATGGCCCCAGGCCCCGTACCCCTGACCCCTGACAACTCCTGGCATCCTGATTCAGTCTGCGCCCTCACCCTGAAGGCTGACTCAGGCTGCTTCTGGATGAGTTCGATGCACAGGGCAGAGGAAGCGTAAGTGGGGGGACCAGAGCCTTGGCTCAGCCAGGAGGGGCCTCGGAAGGCTTGTCTCCATCAGGTGACTGGAGGTGGAGGCGCGTTTCCCTCGGGTCCAGGGTATGAGCTTTGGGAGACGCCCAGGAGTGTCCCCTCTACCCACGGCCCCCACACCTTCACAGACCCTCCGAGGACAGGCCTCCTGGACACCGATCCAGGAAGAGGGCGGCTCCCAAAGAAGCTCAGGCTCAGATTCAAGGTGACACACGCCAGCACACTCAGAACCACTCTGCCACCATGTCCAGACAGAGGCAAATGTGCAGAGGTCAGTCACAGCGCCCCCCAGAGGGCCGCCCTGCCCACACCCTCACCCACCACAGAGGTGCAGCCACTTTGGAGGTGTCATAGGTGGTCGGGAAGGGTGGGGGAGCTGCCATGCCCACCCCCTGCTCCCCAGCACCGATCAGCTCAGAAGGGGCTCTGGTTCCTTTGTTGTGATTTGTCCATTTCCCAGGCTCAGTTTGGGCCCCTCTGGCCTGTGCTCTGGAGGCTTGTAGGCCGGGGAGGGGACGGGGGGCAGGAGGCTGGAGTGTAGATGAAAAAGAGGGGAGGGGAGGAGGAGGAGGAAGGAGGGACTGGGGTTCTGGGCTGGACCGGAGATCAGAGGAAGCCCAGAGGTGCTTGCTGTCCTTGTGGTAGTCCTGACAGTGCGAGCAGGGGCCTGATCCAACTCGTGTCAGGATTCCTCGGCCTTCAAGGTGCCGGGAATGATGGCGGGAACCCCAATTCCCAGAACACCAGAGGAGGCTTTCGGGTTGGTGACCAAGATCCAGTGCTGGGGTTGGGACTCAGGCCCGGCCAGGGCTGACGCCCGTTCACGCGGCCGATGGCCTGGGTCCTTCCCCAGGTCCGGCCCCCAACCCTACAAAGACGCACATGTGTGAGATGGGACTGAAGGGACCAGTCGGGCCAGCTGGGGAGGCTGTCAGGGGAACGGAGCTTCGGGGATGACAAAAGGTCCCAGCTGCCGCTGTGATCCCAGAGGAGAGGTTTGGGACAGGGTCACTCCTGCCCACGCCACCCAGCCCACGTTAGCGGGGGCCAGCATGCTGCGTCCCCAGCTGCCCCCCTCCGCTCGTGACCTTACCGTCTGCGGGGGGCTGCCCACAGTCATCTCCACATAGTAGCCCTGGCCGGACTTGCCCCGCAGGTTGTCCACCATCTCCACAAAGCTGCCCCTCCGGCCAGGCCCCTCCGGCCCCTCCGTGTCCCGGGGCAGCCGCAGCCCCAGGGGGGTGCCCCCCAGCCCGCTCCGCAGAGGCAGCCGGATGCCGGGCGGGGGGCAGTGGGCAGGCAGCACTGCAGAGCCCACCCACAGCAGGAGCCAGGGCAGCGCCTGGGCCATCGTGGGCCCTGGCTCCAGCCCTCGGGCTCACTCGGCCCACGTCCGACCCTGCTGCCTGCCCCCCACTCGGTGCTGCTGTGGCTGCTCAGGAGAGGGGGCTGTGCGGCATCAGGGCGGCTGCAGGCCCCTGAGCGGCCGGGCCAGGCTGTGGGTATCAGGCAGGAGGGATCGCGGAGACAGGGAAGGAGGCGATCCAGGCTACATCTGGCCGGCGGCGTCCCACCTCAGCAGAGGTCTGGGGGAGGCCGGCCCGGGCCCCCCGGGGGAGCGGGGAGGGGCGAGCATGGCAGGGCTGGCTGGTTCGCGGTGGGAGAGGCAGGGCTCCCGACCGGCCGCTGCGTCCGCTGGTCAGGCCACCATAATCCAGCTCCCAGCTCCCCGGCAGGCTGGGCGGCGGAAAGACTTGTGGTGGCGGCTGTCAAAGCCAAGGGTGTTCGCTGCTCCGTGGGATCGCTGGGAAGTGTAGTCTTCCCAGGACACGCAGCTCAGCTTCCGGGGCTGGCGAGGGTCTGGGGTGCCCTCTGCTGAGACGGGGTCCATCCTGCAGGACCCTGGCGGCAGGGCCGGAAGACCCATGGGGATAGAGTGGTGGCCGGCCTCGCATTCTGTCAGCCGGTTCTGCATTCGCAAAGCACCCACTGTGTGCCAGGCACTGCGGCTGTGGAGAGAAAGACAATGTCGTGCACCGTGCAGAACGATGCGGCCCTACTGAGTCAGGGTTTGGGGGCCAGCTATTGGTGTTATTACCGCCGTGACTTCTGAGAAAAAGGACTCTGACAAAGTTACAAGATCAGTCATAGACTAGAAGATAACATTTGTCACGCAATAGAGACGAAAGGTAAATTTCTATAATATACAGGGAGCTTCTATAAGTCAATGAAACCCCAAACCACCTGGTAGAAATATGAGCAAATCATGTGAAGAGGTAATTAATAGAAGAAATGCAAATAAACATGAAAAAAGTTCAACTTCATTAACAGTGAAAGAATGCAATGAAGACATTTAGATATCATCATCATTATTATTTTTTGCTTTTTATATTGGTCCTATTTGGTGTTAGTGAAGGCGTTGGTTGGACTGTAAATTATTTTATTTTTAGAGAGAAATCTGGCAATGTCTATTAATGGGAAAAAAACATACTCTTTGAGCAATGTTAATTCTAGAATCCCACACAATGAAAATAACAGCATTTCAGAGTGCGTGCACTATCAAAACTTAAAAACAAATGATTATCAATAAGTGAATGACAGTCACGGAAGGGAACCCTATGTAACCATGATAAAGAATAGAGTAACTTCTTATAAAACTTAACTTAGAAAATGTCTATGACACGTTAGATGTTAAGAGCACATTGTAGAACAATAAATACATTATGACCTCATTTTGGTAAAAATTAAAAAGTATGCACGCATGCATATTCTGTGTGCATATAAATGACATGTGCATAAGCATGAGAAAGTCTGGTAGATAGGAGCCAAAATGGTCACAGTGGTTTCCTCCAAAGGGAGGATTCAAATCTTCCTTCATTTGCTCATTCATTCATTCATCCATTCATTCATTCATTCATTCAGCAAAATGTCTTTTGAGTGCTCACCACATGCTAAGTACTGTTTTAGGAACTTTGGATACAATAAGGCAGACAAAACTCCTGCCCTCATGCACCTTACATTCTAATACAGGGAGGTAGACAATAAAGAAATAAATATACAGTATTTCAGCTGGTGACATGTTCTATGGAGAAAAAGAGAAGGAAGATGGAAGGTCAACTTGCAACTTTAAATAAGGTGGATGGAGCCCGGCCGGTGTGGCTCAGTGGACTGAGCGTTGTTCTGTGGACTGAGAGGTCCTGGTTCGATTCGTGGTCAGGGCACATGCCTGGGTTTTGGGCTTGATCCCCAGTGGGGAGGCAGCAGATAGATGTTTCTCTCTCACATTGATGTTTCTATCTCTCTCTCCCTCTGTCTCTAAAAAATTCAATGAAAACACATTAAAATAAATAGATAAATAAGTAAATAAGGTGGATAGAAAGTGTAGAAGGAACATTTCACATTGTCATATAATTATTTAAATGGTAGGATTAATGAGTGTTTTTATTTTTTATTATGTGGGTGATTATTTTGTATATTACAAGTAAACAGTATGAAAAGAGAAGAAAGATTTTTAACAGTGGAATTTCTGACTTGGGGGTAGGGCATTCAGTTTGAAATGGATTTGGTTTTTTCTCCCTATCTTTGAAAAATTATCCGTAAATGCCCACCCCCGACTGCAGACGATACCTTACTGTGTGAATTTCTGTCTCTCTTTCTCACGCGGGCATATTGCGAGCACATCCGTTGGTGTGTCATTTTTGTTATTTCCCCCCAAAGACTTGCTTTCTTAACTATGTTTGCCTAAAGGCACTTAAAAATTGGTTTGCATTTCTGAGTACAGGGAGTCCTGATAAAATGCAATTTGCTTATCTGTGTGGGGTAATCTCATTAATCCCATAATGACCCTCATTTTATTAGTTCTCCCAAGAAAGAGCAAGGGACCCATGCTAAGGGACAAAAGTTAAGAGTTTTGACAGCTATTACAGTCAACCAAATTGGTTGCAAATTCTTTTTTCCTTCATTGATTTTAGAGAGAGAGAGAGGGAGGGAGAGAGAGAGAAAGAAACATCAGTGAGAGAGAACATCGATTGGCCGCCTCCTGCATGCCCCCCACTGGGGATCGGGCCCACAACCTGGGCATGTGCTGTGACTGGGAATTGAACCGGCGACCTCTTGGTGCAGGGTCGATGCTCAACCACTGGCCGGGCTGACTGAGTTCTTAACCATAGGGACCAGGTCTACAAATGGGTTTTTGAATTCCTGTTTTGTGCAGGGTCTGTGATGTGAACTGGTGAGCCCTTTAAGCTCCTTCCCAGCCTGGTCTCTTTAGTTTCTCTGAGAGACTTTTTAGGAGAGTGGAAAGGAAGGGGGGACAATGATTTGTCATCTGCAGGCAGAATAAAGGAAGTATAGGCAGAACTGCCACAGATTTGAAGTTAAACACGAGGACTACATTCTGGGTATCTGGTTTGGGATCTACAGGAACAATAATCTGACCTCCTCATTCTGGAATCCACCCTGAGCGGTGCTGGGACTGGTTTCAGGAGCTAGTGGGAGCTCTCCCCAACGGGACGTATCAGGAGCTCCTCCAGGTGTCCCATCCTCCCCTTCAACTAGTAATGTAACAGCGGGAATTGTAACCCTTGCACCATTCTTTTGACACTGTTTCTGTAAATGCTTGTAGAAGAACCTCAGGAACGAGCTTCAGAAGATGCAGGCTCCGACCTCCAGCCAGTCAGCCAGTTCCGGAAGATTTGCTGACCTTCAACCCTAGAACAAGGGTGATGTAGAACTGGGATGATGAAGACCAGGATGACGCACACCAGACCATCACCTGGCCAGTTTCGAGATCCTTATGGGAATGGATTGTGCTGGCTGCACGTGGAGAAGTTTTCAACTCCCTCCCCTTGATTTCTTTGTTCTGCTTTGCCTCTTCCTCCCTGTGAAAACCTCTGCCTGCTCTGAGGTGTGGAGACGGGCTCTGCACAAGAGTCCCCCATCTTCTCGAGATGCTGGCACACGAATAAAACCTTTCCTTTTTCACCAGTATCTGTCTCACGAGTTTGGTTCTCATGGTGCAGGCAGCTGCCCCTTGGTTCCAATTACAGTAGCATCTCTCTTTTTTTCCTTTTTTAAAAGATGTTTTTATTGATTTTTTTTTAGAGAGATAGGAAGGGGGAGAGAGAGAGAAACATCCATGTGAGAAACATCAATCAGCTGCCTCCTGCACGCCCCCTACTGGGCATGGAGCCCACAGCCTGGCCATGTGCCCTGGAGGGGAATTGAACTGGGACCTCTCAGTCCATGGGACGGTGCTCAATCCACTGAGCCACACTGGCTGGGCATAGTAACATCTCCTAACCTTTCTGTTCCCCAGTTTTCTGATTGAATGGCCAGAGTTATCTTTGTCACTCTTATCCTCTTTAGGAGGTTGAGAACATATGAAAGAAAGGAAGATTTGTTCTCTGTGTAAGCAAAATTAAAGCTCTTTCAATGATATTAGTAGCAACCCTTCTGCCAAATAGGGTGTGGAGAGGGGCCACACAGCGCGTCACTCCTTCTGAGGACATTTTTCCATTTTTTGTTCAGATAGAGTGGGAGAAAGAGAGAGAGAGAGAACCATCCACATGAAAGGGACACATCGAGTGGCTGCCACCCGGACGACCAACCAGGGCCAGGGACAAACTGCAACCGAGGAACATGCCCTTAGCGGGAACCGAACCCGGGTCTCTCTGGACCACAGGCCGACGCTCTAACCGCTGAGCTAAACTGGCCAGGGCTCCTTTTCCTCTTAAATAGTCTCTTTGAAATAGTTAGGACAGATATTATGCCCAGTTTGCAGACATGCAAACTGAGCCCATGCTCTGGTGAAAAGATGGACAGTAGAAAAACTAGTCTCTTAACTTCTGGCCGGGTGCTCATTGATATAATCAGAGCACAAGGGAGCCATTTTTTGGGGTGGGAGGATGATGGTGGTGGTGTCTCCATGACCTTATAGTCACATTTCCTTTCTTTATTAAAGGCTCACGGGTTGATTATTGATCACTGTATTGTTCACCTATATTAATCACATTATTTAAAAATGATGAGCAATAAAATGCCTTCGTAAACTCATGTTACAATAAATACTGTGAGTGCTTCTTTCCAGCCCAGGAATACACCCCTCTCATAACTACTGAATCCAGCGCTCTCTTTAACCCCGGGGGCGCCGCATCAACGATCGTGGACTACATCTCCCAGTGTGCAACGGGGAACGTGCAGCCTCTTCCGTGAGCCGACGGGACGCCGAACCAATCCAGCGCCAGAGCCCTCCTCTGCGACCTATTGACTCCGGGCAGAGGCGGGACTCTCAGTGGCGACGTTAGTACCGTTTCCGGAAGTGGTTGCGGGCCGCTGCAGGGCAACACCCCGGCGTCCCTGGAAGCGGGAAACCGGGGTGGTGCTGGGGAGACGGCGCGGAGCCGGGAGCCCTCGCCCCGAGCCCCCCGGGGTGGGGGACAGGTGAGGACCCCTGGAGGGAGGGCTTGGGCGACGGGGAAGGCGGGGAGCGGGAGCGTCGGGCACTCGTGTGCCGGCGAGCGGGATGCGCGCGAGCGTGGGCGGGAAGGGCCGGCCGGGTGCGCACCTCCCCAAACCTCTGCGTGGCGAGGGGCGCGGCGGGGCGCCGGGCCGGCGGGAGCGTGCGGGGCGCCGGGCCCGCTTGCGCCGCGCTCCCGGAGGAGGGCCGGCCTTGGAACCTCGCTGAAGACCTCTTTTGGGGACCCCCCTGCCCCCCAGGTCCCACGTTGGGGCTAGCCAGACCCTTCCCGTCTTTTGGACAGCTGGGGAAGTTAGAGTTTGGGGTTTCCTTGAACTTTCCTTGCATTCATTAAAAAACAACAACTACCTTCTCCTCCTGTCCTCACTTGCCTTCCAAGATTCCCCTCTCCTGGCTTTTCCCTTTCAAACCCGCACCGAGGATACGTTTTTATTGATTTGAGAGAGAGAGAGAGAGAGACATCGAAAGAGAGAAACGTCCAACGGTTGGCTCCCCTGCACCTGCACCTGCACCTGCGCCAGGTGTGCGCCCTGACGGGAAGGAACCCTTCAGGGCGCGAGGACGCGCCAACCGCCAGAGCCACCCTCTGGGCTCTCGTGGTTCCTCCAACTCTGCCGTACTGCTCGCCTTTGCAGCCCTGTCCGTTCACCACGGCCAGCCCTGGGTGATTTCACCCAGAGGTTCAGTTACCATCTATTTAACGGTGACCCCCAAACCAGGGCTCCGGCCAGACCTCTTTCCTGGGCTCAGACCTGCTTACTGAATATCCCCACCTGCAGCTTCCCCAGCCTCCCTGGTCCCTCAGATCTGGTCCTGCTCTTGTAGTTCGTGCCCCAGTGAGGGACTTCAGCGTCCACTTAGCCAAGTCTGCACCGGGAATCCATCTAATATATGCAGCGAACGTTTGTTGGGTGTTTCCCACAGTCTAGGCAGAATGCTAGGTGGGGCTATTGATTGGGCAAGGTGTAGACATGGAAAGTAACCGTGCACAGGATACTGGCCTCAGCGCGCTGATTTCCACCTCTCTCTGGGTCTCTGCTGTCAACATCAAGTCCTGTTACTCTGCTCCTAATATCCGTAGCATCTGGCCCTTTTCCATGCTCACAGCCACGCATGTAGTTCATAATTTCTTGCCTGTGCTTTTAGGATAACTCAGGTGGTCCCTCTGCCTCTGTCCTTGTCCTCTGTTTTTTTTTTTTTTTTTTTAAAAGGCTGTCATAATATGTGAAGTCCTGCGATGACTCCGTGGTGCACAGGGCACGTCCTTGCCTTCATCGTCCCTGCACTCTGGTCATGTCCAAGTGGGCAGAGCTCAGGCTTTGGAGTCACATCGATGTGGGTGTGGGCATGTTTCCTGTGCCGTTTACTGGCCGTGAAACCTTGGACGGATTGTTTTTTTAAGCCTTGCTGAGACTCTGTTTCCTTATTTGAAAAATGGGGATAAGAATCTCTACTTAGCTGAGAGGGTGAGGTGAGATGATGTATATGAAGCATGCGTCCAGTTCTTGGAACACAGGGAGTGTTCAGTGAATGCAAGCTTTTGTTGTGATGAATTCTCTGCACCCAACATGCACCCCTTCTTGCCTCTCCCTCGTGTGTGCTGTTTCTTCTGCCATAAATTCTCTTGCTCCCTTATGCTGGTTGGCTCCTGCTACCCTTCCAGAGCCATTTCGGTGGACCTCCGCTCGGTGATGCTTCCCCTGATCTTCCCAAGTGAGGTCACTCGCCCTTATTTTTGTGTCCCATTGTATTTTGTTACTTCCCTTAATGCGCTTAATATATTATACAGTCGTGTGTTTGCATGTTTGGCTTCCCAGCTAGGCTGAGCTGGAGTTCAAACCCATGTGTAATCAGATTTGTAGCCCTAACAGTGAGCACAGAGCCTGACCCATGGTAGGTGTTCAGTAACTGGTTATTGACTGTCTGAGTGGCCTTAGTTTATATTTCTTATACTGGATTTATCCTCTGGACCAATGTAAAATAAGCCCTTCAAGAATGTGAATTGTGCCCTGGCCAGATTGGCTCAGCGGGTAGAGCAGTGGTTCTCAACCTTCCTGATGCCGTGGCCCTTTAATACAGTTCCTCCTGTTGTGGTGGCCCCCAACCATAAAATTATTTTCGTTGCTACTTCTTAACTAATTTTGCTACTGTTATGTCTTAGGCGACCTCTGTGAAAGGGTCGTTCGACCCTCAAAGGGGTCGTGACCCACAGGTTGAGAACCGCTGGGTTAGAGTGTCGGCCCATGGACTGGAGTGTCCCGGGTTCGGTTCCCGCTAAGGGCACGTACCTTGGTTGCAGTTTGTCCCCGGCCCTGGTTGGGGTTGTGTGGGTGGCAGCCACTCGATGTGTCTCTCTCATGTCGATGTTTCCCTCCCTCCCTCCCTCCCACTCTATATGAAGATAAATGCAAAAATGTCCTCAGGTGAGGATAAAAAGAAAAAAGAAAGAATGTGAATTGCGCCCGGCCGGTGAGGCTCAGTGGTTGAGCATCGACCCTGCACCAAGAGGTCGCTGTTTTGATTCCCAGTCAGGGCACTTGCCCAGGTCATGGGCCCAATCCCCAGTGCGGGGCATGCAGGAGGCGGCCAGTCAGTGTTCTTTCTCATGGATATTTCTATCTCTCCCTCTAAAAATCAATAAAGAAAAAAAATTAACAACAGAGGACATCATCGAGACTTCCGGTCAAGATGGTGGGTAGGTAAACGCGGTGTCCGTCCCCCCACAACTACATCAAAGTTACAACTAAACTACAGAACAACCATCATCAAAACCGCCTGACCCCGAACTGGATGAAGTCCTACAACTACGGAATTAAAGCAGCAGCCGCATCGGGACTGGTAGGAGGGTGGAGGTGGATGGGCTGGTCCCACACCCACGGGTGGTGGATAAAATCAGGAGGACACCTCGGCTGGGAAGGTCCTCCCTGAGGACTGATGGGTCCCCGTCCCACACCAGGTGCCCCGCTCAGGGTCCCAGTGCCAGGAAGAGAGTCCCCATCACTTCTGGCTGGAAAACCAGCGGGAACTGAGGCTCAGGGAGGCTGAGGCGGCTGGAGCCCCAGGCAGCTTCTTAAAGGGCCCGCACATGGACTTATCGGACTCTCTCCCTCTAAGCTTGGAGGGGAGGCAGCTCGAGGGGCGCCAGAGACACACAGGGAAGAACTGAGCTGTTTGGCACTGGAGCGAGGGCTGGAGAGGGAGCTTTCTCCGGGACAAACGTGCTGTCAGAGGCCTTTGTTCCTTTGGTGAGCCTTCCCTGGGGCGGCACATGCCCCCATATCTGGGACTCCAGCAACCTGGCTCACACTGGTAGTCCCGCCCTGCTGACTCCCTGAGGCCCGCCCCACCCAACTTTCAGGCCCACCCAAGCTGTTGCCACTTGCTTAACCATAGGATTGGCCTGTCTTGGATCCTGCTTCAGGTTTTCCTAAATTCTTTCAAACAAGCAGCATCGGGTCTCAGATAGCCCCATACCTCTCATTAAGTAATACACAGAAACAAACACAGGGAGGCAGCCAAAATGAGAAGACAAAGAAACAGGTTCCAAATGAAAGAACAAAACAAAACCCCAGGAAAAGAACTAAGTGAAATGGAGATAAGCAACCTAACAGATGCTGAGTTCAAAATACTGCTTATAAGGATGCTCAATGAACTCAGTGAGGGCCTCAAGAGCATAAAAAAGGACCAGTCAGAAATGATGGATGCACAGTTAGAAATGAAGGAGGCATTAACTGAAATAAAGAATAATTTACACAGCTTCAATAGTAGAATACGTAAATCCAAGAAGCAAACCATTGCTTTGGAATATAAGGAAGCAAAAAACACCCAATCAGAACAGCAAAAAGAAAAAAGAAGCCAAAAAAATGAGGATAGTGTAAGGAGCCTCTGGGACAACTTCAAGCGTGCCAACATTCGCATCTTGGGGGTGCCAGAAGGAGAAGAGAAAGAACAAGAAATCGAAAACCTGTTTGAAACAATAATGGCAGAAAACTTTCCTAACTTGGTTAAGGAAACAGACATACAAGTCCAGGAAGCACAGAGAGTCCCAAACAAGATGAACCCCAAGAGGCCCACACCAAGACACAGCATCATCAAAATGCAAAAGGTTCAAGACAAAGAGAGAATCTTAAAAGCAACAAGAGAAAAGCAGTTAGTTACCTACAAGGGAGTTCCCGTAAGGCTGTCAGCTGATTTCTCAAAAGAAACTTTGCAGGCCAGAAGGGAGTGGCAAGAAATATTCAGAGTGATGAAAAGCAAGAACCTCCAACCAAGATTACTCTATCCTGCAAAGCTGTCATTTAGAATCGATGGCCATATAAAGAGTTTCCCAGACAAGAAAAAGTTAAAGGAGTTCATCACCACCAAACCGTTATTAGATGAAATGATGAAGGGTCTTTTTGAAGAAAAAGATAAAATATATGAACAAACAAAATGGCAATGAATACATATCTATCGACAATGGCATCTACAAACAAAATAAACAGGCAAAACAGAAGCATTCTCATAGATATAGAGAACATTTTGTTGGTTGCCAGATGGGAGGGAGTTGGGGGAATGAAGGAAGGTGAAGGGATTAAGAAGTACAAATTCACTGCTAGACTGACAAACCTCAAAGAGAAGGGGTGTTAGGGGGTGGGAAGAAATAACCCAAAGAACTTATATGCATAACGAATGGACAGAGACAGGAGTGGGGAGGAGGGAGTCAATGGGGGAAAAATGAGGAACATCTGTAATACATTCAACAATAAAGATTTAAAAAAGCCCTAGCCAGTTTGGCTCAGCGGTCAGAGTGTCGGCCTGCGGTCCAGAGAGACACAGGTTTGGTTCCCGCTAAGGGCACGTACCTCGGTTGCAGTTTGTTCCTGGCCCTAGTTGGTCATGCGGGTGGCAGTCACTCGATGTGTCCCTTTCACGTCGATGTTTCTCTCTCTCTCTCTCTCTCTCTCTTTCCCTCCCACTGTATCTGAACAAAAAAAATGGAAAAATGTCCTCGAATGAGGATTGAAAAAAAAAAAAGAAAAAAAAAATTAACAACAAAAAAAGAATGCGAATTGTAATAACAACTGATGTTTATTGAGCTCTTACTATGTTCTAACTATTGTACATGTATTGAATCATACAACTCTCACATCCCTTTGAGATACTGTGATTGTCCCCATTGTACAGATGAGGAAACAGGCAACTTGCCCAACTGCTAAGTGGCAGAGCTGGGATTAAATCTAAGAATGTTCTAACACCTATGCTCATTGTCACCACAGAATCAACTCTGATGTCTTCTGCCTACTCCAGTAATTTTTCCCCCTGTAGTGAACTTTAAAATTGCTCAAGCAGGGAGGAAGAAATAAATGTGCAGGGAACCCTAACTGTGCATATGAGTGTGTATGCTTTGTTAGTGTTAGTGTTAGTGTTCAGATGTATAACAGGCTTTTGGCTGTGCTGGCAAATCCAACAGCGTTCTGGGAAGGTGCCCCAGATATCGAGGGGTTGGGGAACCGTGGCCTGTCATGTCATGAGTGGAAGGGGATACTGCTTGGAGTGGAGAAGCCTTGGGTGCTCTCTTGAGGTCCAGGGGGCAGAACAGGCAAATGGGAGGACGCTTCTTAGAAACTGATTTTTGAAAAGACCTTTTCTTTTCTTTTTGTTAATCCTCAATGCGAGGATATTTTTCTGTTGATTTTTAGAGAGAAGAAGGCAGGGAGTGAAGGGAGAGAAAGAAACATCGATGTGAGAGAGACATATTGATGGTTGCTTCCCGCAGGACCCTGACCAGGGCTGGGGATTGAACCTGCAACCCAGGTACGTGCCTTGACCTGGAATCTAACCCGAAAAACCTTCAGTCCTTTGGTCTGACGCTCTAACCACTGAGCAAACTGACCAGGGCGGGGAAGACCTTTTCGTAGTTAATAATTCTCTAACTATGGATTTGGCAAGAACATCAGTAAAACTACTAAATTTGTTTAACATGTATTGTGTACCAGGGACTATGCTAGGTACTTTATAGGAAGTATCTCAGTTCATCCTCAACCTTTGGATTAGATTATCATGATTGTTTCCGTTATACACACGAGGTTACTGAGGCTTTGAGAGGTGAAGGACCATGCCTAATTTGCCTAAGGTCATGCAGCTGGTACGTGAGAGAGCTGGGATTTGAATTCTGGTGTTTCTGGCCCCAAAGCTGGTACTTCGACCACGATGCTGTCTATCCTTTAAATCATGGAGAGGAAGAATTTGGCATGGGAGGGGTAATTAAACCAAAGCTCTTAACGGTTTTTGTTTGACTCTTGAGATGCCTTGGTTCCCTATTAGTGGTTTATAGCAGAGACAGAGCTCCCACAGTTTATTTATTTATTTTAATTTTAATTTTAATTTTTTTGTGGTGCGTGCCCCCAGCGGGAACCGAACCCGGGACTCTGGTCCACAGGCTGACACTCAACCGCTGAGCCAAACTGGCCAGGGCTCCTACAGTTTATATACCTTACTTTGGGCTTGGTCAGAAAATGCAGAGGAAGGAGGAGGCCTGACCCTCATAGGTTTGTGATTTAACAGGAGAGGGGAACACATTCCTGAGAAAAAGGTAGTAGTAGGAGTAGTACGCCTGTGAACACGTGAAAACTGTCCTTACTGCTGAGGCGGTTACGAGTCGATGGGAGGGGCTGAGGCTAGCCAGGAAGGGCGACCTGGAGGAGGTGTAGGAGCCTTTTTTATTTTTGCTAGATTCTGGGATTGGCGGGAGATGGATGAATGCAGTTGGATGACCCCTCCCCTGCAGTTATGGCTCCTAGAGGGTCTCAGGCCTGGTGGCAGGTAGATGTCATCAGATTTCACCTGATACGTTGGTAAGTGCTACATGGAGTACGGAGCCGATGGTTCTGATGGCGTGTCTAGGGTACTGCGATGGACTGATGTCCCTCACAACCTCAGGCTCGGAAGGGAATGTTAGGACATGTGCCATGTTTGCAATAGCAGATCTCAGACCTCTCGTCTTCTCTGTTACCACTCCAGCCCAGGTGATCATCGTCTTTCACCTCCACTAGTAGTTTCCTCCTCAATCTCTGCAGCCACTCTGATTTTCTCCCTCCCGCTCTGGCCTCCATTCCAGTCTGTATTCCCCGTGGCTGCCGGAGCGATCTGTTAAAAATGTGCATCTTTTAAAAAGCCCTTTCCTGGCTTTCTTATCGTAAAGGCCCACCTTTTGGCACGGCCTGGCTTCCAGCCACCTCCCCAGCATCGACCCGACCCTGCGTCCTCTTGCCGGGGGTTGTTTCCTGTTGCAGGGCCCTGCGCGGCCTGCGGCCTCAGTGGAGCACCTGCTCTGCTCCGTCTGGTGAATGCTTGTCCTGCAGGCCTCCGCGCAGGCTCGATCGGAATCAGGCCCACTTCCTCCAGAGCTCTTCCCTCGTTCACAGTCACACTGATCTGTGACTTGGTGGGTCCGTCACCTCCTGCCTGAGACTGAGTCCAGGGAGGAGCAGCTGAGTCCGCCTGCACCACTGTTGCACCTCTAGTGCCCAGCCGGAGACGAGCTCGCTCAGTAAGGGTTGTTCGAAGGAGTATGACGTCTGGTAGCTGTTCGATAAGTCAGGTTTCTCGTCCCACCACCGCCTCGTTCCTGCACTTCCTGCCCTCGAGGCCCTGTCCCTGCCCGCGTTTGCCTGAAGCCACGCAAGGGGAGAAGGAAGGTAGCATCTAGCCCACCCGAACTTTAATTTTTTCTGGCAAGTTGGTTGACATTTAAGTGGTCCATGAATTCAGATGTCCAGCTTCTTTCCGACCTTTAAGTAGTTAGACCCAGGTTTTCCGTAGTTAGCTGCCTGGGTGCTTTGCCACGAGGATAGCTTTCTAGAGATGGCTGTGTCTGGGGACGGGTGACATTTCTCAGATGCAAAATTTCTCAGATTCCCGGAGATCTTGGATACAGTGCCTTGTATGGACCACGCCTGCTGGTGTGCATAATGCCCACCCAGCCTGATGCTCAGGCCACTGGTGGTTCCTCCCTCCCCAGGGACCCTTCCCCTCCCCTCTCCTCCCCAACTCCGCCACCGGGCAGTGGCCACATGTTCTGCCCGCTCCCGTGCTTTTCCGCTCTGCTTTTCCAGCCAGCGGCCCTCACCTCTGCCTGTGGGCGCAGAGGCCGGAGCCTGCGTCTGCAGTTGTCTGCAGGGTGTCGGGCTCCTCTGCAGGGGCCACATTCCCACCTGGGCTGGTGCACTGCAGAGAAGGGTGCTTCTCCCTTTGGCCTGTCTTCCCGAGGCGCTGCTCAGCCTCCTGCTGGCCGGGTCAGGTGGGACTGAGGGGCAGGGCCTGCTCCCTGGTGAGTCCTAAAGCCACAACCTCTCTGGCGCAGGTCTCTCAGCTGTCAGGCTGCAGGGAGGGCCTCGGTGATGGTCCCTCCCAGGCCCCAGGCCGCTGATCAGGGCTCCTCTCTCGGGTCTTGGGCAGATTCAGAATGAGCAGATCCGGTTATTTCCTGAGCCCTCATTGCAGGCTGCATCCCGACCTTTTGTTTTGGTTGTTAATCCTCACCATTGATTTTTACAGGGAGTGGAAGGGAGGGGTGGGGGAAGAGGGGGGAGAGGGAGAGAAGGAGAGAGGGAGAAAGAGAAAGAAACATCGATGTGAGAGACACATCGAATGGTTGCCTCCCGCATGACCTGACCGGGGCTGGGGATCGAACCTGCAACCCAGGTACGTGCCCTTGACCGTGAGTCGAACCCACGGCCCATCAGTGTGAGGGCTGACGCTCTAACCACCGGGCCACACTGGCCAGGGCCACATCCCAACCTTTTGATGACATGTTCTTTCTGCTTTCACAGGGCTGCGTCATGTTCACGCTCCAGGTGGGACGGTGACAGCTTCTGAAGAGGTCAGCACCTGCTCCTCCAGACTGCTTTTGGTCACGTGGTGTGGCTGACGCCTCCTCAGTTGGGGGACACCCTCAGAATCGCGGCCACAGCAACCGCTTTACAGGCTTTTGTCTCTGCGTCCTTGGGGGTCAGCGTAGGAGCTGCCGTCGGGAGAGCTGGTGTGCCTGGGGTCCTCAGGTGTGACAGGCGGGGGGATGGGAAAGGAGGGACAGTCCGGAACTGTGCTGGCTTGTCCCCGACGCTGGACTCTTTCCCGCGTGTCCTCGTCCTGTGGACATCAGGGTCCTCGCCTCTGGCCCTTCTCTGTTCCCACCCTTCTGCCTAGTTCAGGCCCTCCTGACCCTCACCTGGTGACGGCGTCAGTGGTTTCCTGAGGAGCCTCTCATGTCTCTCACCAGCCATGCCTCTCCCCGGAGTCTCCTGGAAAGGGGCCACTCTGCGTCACTTCTTTCACCAGGGCCCTCAGCGACCCCCTTTGTGCTGCTCTTGAGCATGGCCCGCCTGCTTCCCACCCCACCCCTGCCCGGCGTCCCGGTGTCCGGCCTTCCAGGGCGGTGCTCCCTCTGCCTAGAGCAGCCCTCTGGTCAGCCTCGCAGGGTGTGCCCCTCTGCCCAGCGCCCTGAGGTCGTGGACTCGGCTCCACGGGAGCAGCTCCCGGGGGCGCTGTCGAGTGCGGGGGGCAAGCAGACAGGCAGGCGTGCGAGTGACCGTGTGGCCACGCGAGCACTGCTGGCGTGTGGCGGCGGGGTGCTCTGGGTTACTCTGGTCGCTGGGGCTTGTCAGCAGGGGCCTGTACTGTTTGTTCTGTCTCTCATGGAGGGATAGGAGGCCAGCCTCTTGAGAGGTGGGTTTTCAGATCTTCTGTGGCCCCCGCAAGCCGTTGGGAGATGTGTCTCAGGGAACTTTCCTGGGCGCAGAGCCTGGAAGGCCTGCGTTCTCCCTGCATCTGGAAAGTTCCAGCGAGGTCTGTTTGCAGGGTCTGGTCTGGTTCAGGTGCTTTCTGCTGCAGTCGGACACGCTCTTGCTAAGCCGGGTCACTGATGTGCTCTCTGGGTGGGGCCTCTGGGATCTAGGTGTTTGAGCGCAGACCATCATGGCCGGAAGACCCATCCGCATAGGAGACCAGCTGGTTCTGGAGGAAGATTATGATGAGACCTACGTCCCCAGTGAGGAAGGTAGGAAGCCTGGGGTGTATTGTAATCTTTTTTCCAGGGCAGGAGTTACCTCCGATTTATCTTTGTTCTTCTGATGCAGAGACGGTCTGTGCACAAGGCTGCTTAGTGTCCTTGGGTTTGATCAGGGCTGGCAAACTATAGCCCAGGGACCTAATCTGGCCTGTTGCTTGTTTTTGTAAATAAAGTTTTATTTACAGAACAGCCGTGCTTATTTGTTCCTGTATAATCTGTGCTGCCTTCACACTGCTGGAGCAGGACCCACAAGCCTAAAATAGTGACCGTTTGACCCTTTGCAGAAAAGGTGCTGACCGTGGATCAGGCCAGCGACTAATTGTAAACGAAAATACAGTAGGGAGTGTTATGAAATACAGTGTGTGCCGAGGTCAGGGGAACCCGGTTTTTTAAGAACAAACTAAAGCACTGTTTTTTAAAATTTTATTTTAAACAACAACATTATTAATAGTAATAACAAAATTTATTCAATATTACTGTGCCATTCTCTGTAGTAAGAACTCTGCATGTATTTCCTCATAGTAAGTCGTGAGTCAGGTGCCTTTATTATCCCCGTTTTACAGATGAGGAAGCCAAGGCCCTTCTCTGCAGTCACACGGTTCTAAGCGGTACAGCTAGAACCCACACTTTAAGGGCCTGCACTTGAAGCACTGTGCCATTTTCGGGGGGAGGGGATTGACAATTCCTTTGAAATTGTTACGAGTTATGGACACAAAACTTCTTACAATTCAGATGGTTTGAGGGCCTGCTGGGGGAGGGGAAGAACTCATTCACCCTCAGGAGTCCATGGATCCCACATTAAGTCCTGGGCTTTGCTTATAGTATAAGATTTTTGTTTGTTTTCCACGTAGAATTTCTTTTTTTAATTTTTAAAATCCTCACCCGAGGATATTTCTTTTCCATTGATCTTCAGATAAAGTGGGAAGGAGGGAGAGAGAGGGAGAAAGAGAGAGAGAGAGAAACATTGATGTGAGAGAGAGACGTTGACTGGTTGCCTCCCACCCGACCCGACTAGGGTTGGGACGAACTACAACCAAGGTACGTGCCCTTGACCGGAATTGAACCTGCAACTCCTTGGTCTGAGGGCAGATGCTCCAACCTCCGAGCCAAACCGGCCAGGGCTGCCAGATAGAAATATAATTTTCACGCTAAATGTAGCAGTCCATTTACACGTGGCCTGTGAATTTTGTATCAGAGCTGGAAAAGCCTTCCCTGCTCCAAGGATAAATAGTTACGTTTTCCCCTAGGTCTGTCCCTGCACTGTTCGTGGGATAGCTCATCTCTTCCCCACTGGGTGCTGCCTACTTTCTCTTCTCTTCCATTGGACGACCCACAGTCAGCACTGCACTCTTTTTTGTTTTTAATCCTCATCTGAGAACATTTTTCGATATTTTGTTCAGATAGAGTGGGAGGGAGGGAGGGACGGAGGGAGGGAGGGAGGGAGAGAGAGAGAGAGAAACATCGACGTGAAAGGGACACATCGAGTGGCTGCCACCCACACGCCCCAACCAGGGCCGGGGACAAACTGCAACCGAGGTACGTGCCCTTAGCGGGAACCGAACCCGGGTCTCTCCAGACCGCAGGCCGACGCTCTAACCCCTGAGCCAAACCGGCCAGGGCAGCACTGCACACCTGATTACTGGGGCCAAATAATCATCTCTGTCTAGCAGGGCTGAAATGCCCCCCTTGCTTTTTCCTTCAAAGTTGTCTTGTTTATCTTGTTTGTTTGTCCCCCACGATCTTCAGGATCACCGTGTCTAGTTCTGGGGAGGGCGCGGTGTGCAGCACCGCTGCTGTCTCGGGGAAAAGTGTTTGTTTTGTGACTGAGCCCGGAGAGGGGTGACACCTTCCCATCTGAGAACATTGCATGCCTTTCCATTTGTGCCTTTTCTGTTTCTCAGGAGCGACTTAAATTATTCTTCATGGAGGTTTTATGCATTTCTTGCTCATTTTATTTCTGAAAAATTTCATCTTAAAAACTTTTGAATTACAGCTTACACTCGTTATGATTGTGTGTCAGGTTCAGGTGCACAGCACAGTGGTTAAGAAAGCGTAGGTTGCACGGAGTGGACCCCTGCACGCCATGCCCCGCCTGGCCCCATGCAGTGAGCACGGCCTTGCTGACTCAGTCCTTGTGCCGTAGCCTGCATCTCGGTGCCTCTTCTGTCATTACCACCTGGTACTGCTGAGTTCCTTGTGAGTTCTGATGTTTGTCTAAGTCCTTTTCTTCGGTTAATCTTCACCTGAGGATATTTTTTCCATTGATTTTTAGAGAGAGTGGAAAGGAGGAGGGGAGAGGGAGAGAGATGTGAGAGAGACACATCAATTGGATGCCTCCCATATGCACCCCGACTGGGGTCAGGGATCGAACCTGCAACCCAGGTAGGTGCTCTTGACCAGGAATTGAACCCGTGACCCTTTGGTGCACAGGCCGGCACTCCAACCACTGAACCACACTGGCTAAGGCGCTAACGTTCTTAATATAGACTCGCTTCTGCTCAGTCCAAGGTTGGACGTCCTAAGCGCAGCCCGCACTCGCCCTCCCCGGACTGTCAGCAGCTTGCTAACCACCTCCCTGCTCGGGCTCAGCCTGTCCGTCTGCTCTGCTGAGCGCGGGTGTCCGCAGTGCGAAGCGGGTCACGTCGGGGCCTGACCACTCAGATCGCAGTGGGCTGTGCAGGCCCCGCGGGCCGCGGCCCCCACCTGGCAGGCTCGCCTGGTGCCTCTGTCCTTGCTTGTGCACCAGTCACAGGGCCCCTCCGACGGTGCCCAGGGGACCAGGCTGCTGCCGCCACGGGCCTGCCCCTCGCCGGGGCTCGTGCCTAGTGCTCCGCACGGCTCCTCCCCCGCTCATTCAGCTCTTAAAGTGAAAACAATGTTTTTAATTTTTAAATTAGATTTTAGAGAGAGAGGAAAGGAGAGATAGAAACATCGATGAGAGAGAACATTGATTGGCCGCCTCCTGCATGCCCCCCACTGGGGATTGTGCCCTGACCCGGAATCGAACCGGCGACCATTTGGTGTATGGGTCGACACTCAACCAGTGAGCCACAGCGGCTGGACTAAAAAAAACTTCTTTGAATTACAGTTTACATTCATTATTATTCTGTATTAGTTTCAGGTGCACAACAAAGTGGTGAGAAAATCATATGTTGTACAGAGGGGTCCCCCTGCTGCTCCAAGTACCCACCGGCCCCGTGCCCAGTTAGCACAGTCTTACTGACAGCTCTCGTGTCACCGTCCTGAAACGTTGTCCTTGACCCTTTCTGAAAAGTGCCCCTCCGCCTCGATGTTCTCGGTCTCATACGCATTCACTTCCTCGTCACGTTTATCAGAAGCTTTGCTTCTCTGTACACTTATCTGTTCACTTCATCACCGGCTGTTTCTTCCCTGGAATGGAAGCTGCATATGGGCAGAAACCGCTTCTCCTTCCTGGAACGTGGTGACCGGTGCATAGGAGGCCCTCAGCCCTGTGACCCTGTTCGTGGAGAATCGCGCGATTGCTCCCCCCAGCGCCTGTGAGAGCTGGGCTCTCGGGCTTCTCGAGAAAAAGACTGTTCTGAGACTTGCTCAGGAGAATGAGTATCTTTATTTGCGTAGTTACATCTTGGTTTCTTCTTTTTTTAAAAATATGTTCTTACTGATGTTTTTAGAGGGGGAGGAAGGGGGAGAGAGAGAGAAATATCAGTGTGAGGGAGAAACATCGACCAGCCGTCCCCTGCACGTCCCCTGCATGTGCCCCAGTCGAGAATCAAACGGGGACCTCTCAGGCCGTGGGATGACACTCGGTGCCCTGAGCACACTGGCCGGGCACATCTCTCTGTTTCTGAAGTCCCCGTGTCCTTAGCCCAGTCCCGGAGAAGGGGCAGCGGGGTTTGGCAGAGCTCGAAGCAGAGCCAGAGTCGTTTCCACTCCGTGGCAGGCTTGAGTCCCGCACAGCGTCAGGCTGATCAGCCCGCTGGTCCACTGTGCGGAGTCCACACGCTGTGAGCCGGTGGACGCCTGCGGGAGTGAGAACCTGCAAGCCAGGAGCCAGGTGTGGGCAGCCAGAGAGCAAGGAGGGCAAGAGGGCCCAGAGAGAGCTCCCTGAGCTCAGACGTCTCAGTATGTCATGCCCTTGCAGTGGCCATGCCTGTTCTGGCCAGTTACCTGTTCCCAGGTGTGATTGACAGGCAAGCACCTTCCCGCGTCACCTAGACCTTACTGGGCATGTGTCTGCTGTCTAGGCCCCGCTCCCATTAATCTGCAGGGAGCAGACTTGGAGAATGTTGAACTGCAGCTTTCTGGCAAAGCTGTATAAATGGCATGCCTATATGACCTAGTCTTCCCTTTGCTCCTTTCCTGTTAATTAATAACCAGGTTATTACAGGGGTAGCAATCCCCCCTTGAGAAAAAGGAAACATCTTATAAAGGAGAAATGGATGAGGGTCCCCATCTTATAACTGCTTCTTGCTGTCAAGGGGTGTAGACCTGCCTATTCCATGGCTTAGGGCAGCAGTTCTCAACCTGGGGGTTGCGACCCCTTTGGGGGTCGAACGATCCTTTCACAGGAGTCGCCTAAGACATAACAGTAGCAAAATTACAGTTATGAAGTAGCAACGAAAATAATGTTATGGTTGGGGGTCACCACAACATGAGGACCTGTATTAAAGGGTCACGGCATCAGGAAGGTTGAGAACCCCTGGCTTAGGGGTTCTCCCTGTCTGACAGAAGAAGGGGGAGCAAAAAGGGAGAGGAGTCTTTACGTGGGCAAGAGGGATTCTGCAACGTCCAGGTCAGTCTGGTGTCCCTGGGAGGTGGCGTAGGTGATGTTCAGGAGGACGATGCATCGGACAGGCTAGCATCTTTGTTGTATCCTAGAAATGACAAACTTGACAAGATGGTTAAAAGGTTTAATTCAAAAGTGAGGAGACTTATAGCACCTAGGGGTCTAATGAGAGGTAAGAACTCCGGTGACGGGGGGGAAGAAGAAGGTGCAGGTCCCCAGT